GCCGCTTCTAGGGCGCGCAGAGAGCCCCACGCGCCCCATAAGTACATCCACTGGAGCCTGGTTAAACCATCCACAGTCATACCCTAAAAGAAAACTGACTACCCCATATCGCAGCAGCTGTTAGTTGCAGTTCCTTAGCTGTAGTTGGGGCTTCTTCCCCACTTCCCCACTTCTTTACTGGGATTTTGTCTGGCTTAAGTTTACATGGGACTTGTGCATGCTGTTACCATTGCTGTGAGTTCCTATGAGTAACTGACCAGCTGTCTGGAAAACTCTTTCCTTGTGGCCATCCACCCCCTCTGGCTCTTATAGTCTTTCTGCCCCCTTCTTCTGCAATGATCCCTGAGCCTTGCGAGGCAGAGGTTTGATATAGGTGCCCTATTCAGGGATAAGAACTTTGAAATCTCTTATTCTCTGCACATTGGCCAATTGTGTGTCTCTGTGTTAATCACTATCTGCTGCATGAGGAAGCTTCTCTGGTGAGAGGTGAGAGATGCATTAATCTCTGGGTATAACAATAAGTCATTGAGAGTTGGTTCAATACTATTTTCCATTTAGCAGAATAGTAGTAATAGGCTCTCCCTTGTGGCCTGTGACCTGCTTACCCACAGGTTCCTAGGTCTGATAGCAGGTCAGATATGGGCTCCATCTTGTGAAGCAGACTTTAAATCCACTCAGAAAGTAGTTGGTTACTCCCATAACATTTGTGCTGCTATTACACCACTGAATGTTTCTTGCCAGGTCAGTTTTTGTAGCTCCTAGGATTCACTGCTGGGTGAAGTTGATGATTAGCATGCATAGCACCTTTTAGCACTATTAAAAGTATCCAGTAGAGAGGAAGTTTTGAGGTCAGTACTGGCTTGCTTTCTCCTTTTTTAGTTCTACAACTCATGTATGTAGTGTCTTCAGCTATAGGGTTTTACCATCAAGCTCTGATGGATAACCAAGAACAGGGACAATGGCTGATACTGTTTGTAGGTCTATGGGACCCCTAGTCAACAGCTTCAAAAGGAGTCAATTCCTGGCCTTGGGCTCTTTGTTTGCTAGCCTATGGTGCCTAGTAGGGGCAATGTTCCCCTGCTGTGGAGAAACTCCTTTTAATCCCTTTTTATTCATTTTTATCTTTTTGAAACAGGGTCTCCCTGTAGTCCCAGCTGTCTTGGAACTTACTATGAAGACCAGGCTGGCCTCAGTCTCACAGAGATACTTCTGTTTCTGCCTCTTGAGTGTTGGAATTAAAGGCATGGCCACCATGCTCAACTTCTAATCTCTGTTTTAAGTGTATATGTATATACTTTAAGAAGCTTCCATAGTGGTAGATTTCCATATGACATTCTCTAAAGACCTTTAGTGTAAGTTTTCCCTTCCAAGTTTCTCACCTATTTTCTCTTAGGGATAAGGGGGCAGATGTGTGAAGTTCTAATTGTCTGTAGTGCTCTATTTTTATCCTTTCCAAACTGCTTGCTACTTTCCCCTCATGGTATGCTGCCTTGAAGAACTTGTACCACAATATTTACTTTTGATATCTTAAAACTTTATTCATGTATTTCTTAATGGACATAATAAGACTGCTTGTCTTGTAGGACTGTTTTGAGGGCAACATGAGTTAATAGGTTTATAGACAGGGTACTGGGCTTGGCACATCAGTAAGTGCTTAAAATGAGTCCTTCTGTTTTGCTATTGGCTTTATTATACTTCAGCTTTTAGTGTTTCGGGCCTGCTTTGAGTCTCTCCACTGATCCACCAGCGTCTTGCCTATGTTGGTCATGATTGATGTTATCAGATTTCTTATTTTAATTTTATAATTCAGGTTTTAAAAATGTATGCTTTTATGCTTCTCAGGTCATTTGGGGAAGACAACTTTGACACACCCAAATTCAGTATGCCTGAAGTAGAATTTAATGAAATATCTAAATTATTTCCCAGAAGTATATATAATTAAACTATAGGATAATTTGAACCATACAATTTTATATGTGAAGGATCTAGACTGGAATTTGAGGATTCTGCAGTCTGATGATTGAAAAATCCAAAACATTTTGAAATTGAAAACATCTTGTGCACCCATAGGATCCACCCATAGTGGAAAGTCCAGTGCTGACCATATTGCAGCCAATCATATGTGTCCTGCCAGTGCTTAGTACGGCTTCCCTAGGCTGCATACACCAAGTGTACATGAAATGTAGATGCACTTTGTGTTCTGATCTCTAAAACATCTCATTATCTCTATCAATAATTGCAAACTCAGAAAAAAGAATACAAAATTCCAAACACTTCTGGTCCCAAGCTTTTTAGATTAGAGATGCTCAGTCTGTACTGTCAACCAGTTGATGTATTGGATTTTGAATTTCTGATGGAGAGAGTAATTTCTCTATGAAGAAAAGGTTTTTTTTTTTTTTCTTTTTGTCTAGACAGGAGTGTCTCTATATGTCAGTTAAGTTTAGTGGTGATGATGGGTATATACAATATGAAGTATTTTTTGCGGTGGGGGGAAGAGGAGTAACTGGGGATTGAATCTTAGAGTTTACACATACTAGACAAGTACTCTACTACTTAGCTATATTCCTAGCCCCTAATGTGAATGTTAGTTTTTTTTGTGCATATGTCTTTTTGAGACAGGGTCTCCCTGTAGCCACAGCTGTCCTGGAACTTGCTATGTAGACCAGGCTGGCATTGAACTCACAGACGTCCGCCTGCCTCTGCCTCCAGAGTGCTGGAATGAAAGGCCTGTGTCACCACGCCTGGCTAAATGTGAATGTTCTTAATGCCACTAAACTGTATACTTAGAAATGAGTAAAATGTTAACTTTATATTGCATATCTTTAAAAAAAGTTTCTGATTTATTTTTACTTTATGTGTATGAGTGTTTTGCATGCATGTATGTAAGTGCACTGTGTGTGTAATGCCCAAGGAGGGTGGAAGATGGTGTCAGATCTCCTGGAACTAGAGTTACAGATGGTTGTTAGCCACCATGTGGGTGCTAGGAACTAGATTCAGGTCCTCTCTAAGAGCAGCAAGTGCATGTAAGCACTGAACCATTTCTCCAGGCCCTGTTATATGTTATCTTATGCTTTAAAAAAAAAAATCACAGCACTTGAAGATGAGGGAGGGGTGAACATAATCAACATAGTTTGTATGAAATTCTCAAAAATTAATAAAAAAAAATTGGGGGGGGGACTGGAGAGCTGGCTCACCAGTTAAGAACACTGTTCTTGCAGAAGACCCGGGTTCGAATCCCAGCACCCACATGGCAGCTAACAACTGTCCGAAACTCCAGTTCTAGGGGATCCAACAGCCTCTTCTATCCTCTGCAGGCATCGCACGACACGGATGCACTTACAGACATGCAGGCAATACACGAATACACATAAAAATAATAATATTTAAAAAAATTTTTTTAGAAGTTGCAATATAACCAGTCATGCAGAGCCAGGTGATCTGTGTGAGTTCCACACAAGCTAGAGTTCCACGATAAGACTGTCTCAAAATGTAAATAAATACCAAAATCACAAGGTACCACCTTCTAACCTAGACCATTGGATGTTTTCCCTTTGTTGTCTGCTGACGTTGCACTTTGCCAGATGCCTTCCCTGCCTCACCCAAAGTCCTGTAAAGAAAACCCTTCTGCCGGGAACTGAACCTGGGTCTGATGTAGATAACGGGAATATTTAAGTAAAATATGGATTTTAGTTCTTGTTTTTTCCTTCTGTCTCTGTCAGCAAATTTCAGCTGGTAAGTTTGTGGTTAGAATGCTAACACAGCTTGCTAGCTAAGACCACTGGCCTTGTGTCCTGATGAACTTCCTCAGTTGTTTGTCTCAGATGGAGACTTCTGCAGTGATAGAGGATTTTTAAAACACTTCTTTTCTATTATTATAATAATCTTCCTGGTTTTAAGACTTTTGCTGTTAACCAATGAATGAATAGTTTTCTTTTTCACTGTAACTCACTACCTAAGGTATAAAATATGAATGCTTCCTACTTTTTAGGGTCCAGACTTTGAGACTTAAGTCCTCTGGACTGCAGCCTAAATAAACCTGCTTCCTACATCTCCTGGTGGTATCTTCTCTGCCCCACAACAGGTCCCTTTGTAGGATCAGCTAGTGCTTTTAACCCCTGAGCTGATCAGGAACATGGTTACTTACAGGAACATGAGTGACTCACAGGCAGCTACAACATCAGGATTTCCCCTGGGTGACCTGTAGGCAGCTAATACCACAGAGCTATCTGACCTTAGTTAACTGTTTAACTCTTAGGTGGTGATTGGAATCTTGGGGAGATGATAGGCCTTGACTGGTTCTTCTGAGTCTCATGACCTTCTCCACTGCCTTTGAGAAGGGATGTTAGTAGGCTGGATCTCTTGAGAGATGTGTGTGTGTGTCATAGCTGCTCAGCATCAAGACTGAGATAGTCACATCAAACCCAGAGGAAATAACTATACTGCAACTTTATACCAGTTTTTAAAAGAGCATTACTTATGTGAACGTCTCACATGCAAGGTGAAAAGAGGATGCTTAACCATGTGAAAATCTAAGACCCCCCCCCGTGTGTGTACAAACATGCACACCCGCTTACCTGTGCATGTACGTACAGGCTGGAGATCAACTTTGGGTGTCTTCCTCTATTACTGGCCAACTTATTTTTTGAGACAAGGCCTCTCCCTGAGCTTGGAGCTTCCCGTTTTGGCTAGAATGACTCTGGCCAGCAAGCCCCTGGGACTCACCCTGTCTTTGCCCTTGCCAGCACGGGGGATATGTGCACCTGACGCCACACCCAGCTTTTACCTGAGTGCTGGGATTCTGAACTCAGGTTCTGATGCTTAAGCAGCAAGCACTTTGCCCACTGAGTCATCTCTCCACCCCTCAAAATCTAAATCTTAAAGGACCATATGTGAGGAATTAGCAGAACACATCGGCATCAATGTGTTCAATTACATTCTTTTTCTTTCACAGTATATGTTTCTTACTCGTTTTCTAACAAGGAATTAATTGTTTTTAACAGGAAGGAGAAGCTGATGCGATGCTCTCAATGCCGAATTGCCAAGTACTGCAGTGCTAAGTGTCAGGTAAGAGTATTCAGCTGTTCCAGGGAAAGCTTCAGATTCCCCACCTGTGAATTTGTTCTCCATTACAAACCTATGGGTCTGTTTTTCTTTTAAAAAAATGTTTGTTAGCTCTTTTTCTTTCAATTTTGAAATTAATATTTGTGCAATTTGAGCAGGTCTCATTGGAGGAGGATCCAGGAGGGAGAGACAGAGAGAGACAGAAACAGAGATGGAGATAGACAGACATGTACCTGCTAGGGCAAATGTACGCTTCAAAGCCATGTGTCCAGTGCCTACTTCTTCCAACTCTGCAATCTCCCAATAGACCTTTTAGCTAAGAACTCAATGGATTGTTCCACTGATGGCCTTAGTGCATGCCTTCATTATCCAGTCACTTAGCAATAGAGTTGTGTTACACTATTCCTAGGGAGATGTGAATAGAGATCTACTTACCTCAGATGGATAACTGACGACAGACCAAGGTAAGGATCCCACCAAAGTCCAACTTGGTGAACCAAGAGTTTTATTGGCGTCATTTACAGGAGTATGGGTGAGGGGTTACTTATAGGAACAGAAATGACTCAATGACAGCTGCATCACCAAAGCCCACCACAGCTGAGGTGACAGCATGCTCTGATTCTCTCCCAGGCAGCTTGGCTGGTCTGAGCCTCCTCTAGGCAGCCCAGCTCTTCCCTCTCTCCCAGGTGGCTTGCTGGTGTAAGCTGCTTCTAGGATGCCCAGCTCCTCTGAGAATCTTTCAGCAGTCTTTACTGCTTAGATATGCTTGTGGGGGGTGGGGAGCAATTGTATCTCACCAGTTTCAGGGACTTCCTGAAGCCTTTGAGTTGTTACTTTTTTGTGCTTACAGCTTCCCCCGCAGGATGTAATGGGTCACCTCTCCTTAGAACAACCTGTTTTTAAAGAGTTGTCCTCCAAGATGGAAAGTTTTATGTAGGAAGAAATTGTTCCACAATAACCACATTGACACAAAACCTTGACTTTAATACCTAAGCATCTGGAAACATTTTGGTTTCAAACAATAACATTTTGTTAATTTTTTGTGGAGACATATTTGAAGAGCTCTATGTTTCTAAAAATAGATACAGATTGTTCTGGCTCCTTTTATGCTTTTTGTTTTTTATTTAGTAATCTATTTAGAGAACTATTTTATATCACCCCATATATTCCATTTTATATGTATACCATGATCATAATTTCCTCATTAAAGAATGTTTAGATTTTCTCCAGTATTTACTATTGCCAATAATGTACCTAATATCCCTTTTCATACATTTAAAAACTAATTCCATGATATAGTCCTAATTACATTTCTTTAGTGAAAGGATATATGCATTTTGAATTTTTAAAGATAATGACAAATTACTTTCCTAAAGATTAAATTAATTTATAATGAATATGGTTGTTAATATATTTGAAATTCTTTTAAGGATGTATAATTAACATTCAACATGACCTTTACTTCAAGTCTTTTGATTAATCATTTAATAAGAAATGCAATTATGCTCTAATGAATTATATCATTAAAAAGTCTAATTGAAACTTTGTGTCTGTGTCATTCCTCCCACTCATTCTTGTTTTGGGGTGTGCATGTGTGTGTGCTTGCTTGTGTGTTGCATGTACAAGAGCTCTCATAGACTTCCTCCTTTTAAATCTAGACCATGCTTCTCAGGAATTTTTATGCTATCTCATTTTGCCTTTGAAATTAACCTTAATGGAAAAAGCCAAATGTACAAAAAATTTAGAGGATCTAGGTTCTCTTTTCTGCCATTTTCTATTTAAAATCATTTCAGAGAAAACACAAGGTTAGGCAGGCCTCAGTTTTTTCAGCTGTGCTGATAAGTGCTCATGTTTATGAGACAGATACTATGTGGTAGGCACTGTTTTATTCCATTTAATTTTATAAATATCTTGTACAAATTAGGTACTATCTCTATGCTCGTTTTACCTGGAAGGAAACAGGTCAGAGCAGCAAGTAACTTGTCAAATATCCTATAATTGATAGGTCTTGGAATTGGGAAACAAACCTACAAATTACTAGCACATGTCCAGATTTTAAATTTACCTTCTAAACCTAAATTTTATTTTTGTTATAACCTTTTGATTAGATCTAGTTTTCTCTTTACTATATTCTTCTTTTGTTAATTGACTATTTACTTGTTTTACTAGGGTGCTAGGGTGGGACCCCATGGCTTTGTGCATGCCCAGGGAGATCTTTATTATATAACACCCTAGATCTATTTTACTTTGTATTCAATAAGGTTGCAAGCTGTCCTTTATAAAAGACACAAAAGGAAACATTTTTAAATAGAAATTGAGAACTGGGGAGATAGTTCAGTGGGTAAAGTGCCTACTGTGTGAACGCCAAAACCCGAGTTCAGATCCTCAGCATGCATATAAAAAGTCGGGCATGGCAGCATGTGCCTGTAACCCCAAACTTGGGGCATGAATGGAAACAAATGGATCCCTGAAGCTAATGGGCCAGCCAGTCTTTAGAGAGATGCTGTTCAAAAAATACGAGGAAAGACTTTCTACTTCAACAGTGGCCCTCTACAGGCATGCATACCCAAGTATGTGTACACTTTCCACATAGGCACACACCATGTACATGCACACACTACACACACACACACACACACACACACACGGAGAGAAATTTGAAAATTTAACGCATAACTAATAAGAATAAGGGGTGAAATATTGAAAATAATTGACTTTCATCTCATTTTTATAAATCAATTATTTTGTCAAGGTAAGATCTCAGATTTATATTTGGCTATTAAGAGTAACTATAAAAAATGGAAAAAGGGACAATATATGCTTTTTTTCTATAGGAAAAATCTTAGAAAAGCTGTTTTATGGTGAGATTTTAACTCTATTACTCAAGCAAATCTGGGCTACTTGTTTCCCTAAATGCCAGATTAGGCAGAGTGCGTGTAGAAATGATGACTTGTCATATTACTTGACACATATCTTTTGGATGGACTTCTTTTCTAATCTCAATGGTTTAAACATTTATTTTCCCCTGTTTGTACTAATATTTTTCTCTGAGGCTACTTTGTCCTGTAGTAATACATAGAAAGAAGAAAAAGTCATTATCTGATTAGAATGAGTCGAGGGAGTTTGGCAAGTAGGCATGTCATTTTGATTCATTGTAGTGTATATATTTTTACTACGTATATTAGCTGTTCATTGTAGCATCAATAATAATGTCATTGTTAGACATACTATGCATGTTAATGAAAGGTAGCTAGTGAGATGAAATATATAATACTAGCTAGAGTATGTATCTGTATGTGTATGTGTGGGGGTTGCTTGGGGTGTAGAGGTGGGAGTCAAAGATTGGCCAGAACATATGCATTTAAACTGCTCTACTTATCTCAACCCCAGGATACAGCATGAAACATTGTAATTACTGTGGATGCCTCCAAAGCACCAGGAAATTTAGAACAAACTGGATTGGGAGACCTGTGAAGAGTAACTAACTGAAGGGGAAAGCAAACAGAATGGAAACTGATAGAGAATGTGCTAAGAAAAAGTCTAGAACACTGTACTCCAGGCCACATGACTGGTTTGTTAGTTTGGCCTTTAAGGCGGGGTTGGAGGGACTATGGTATCAAGGAGTTGCCTGCGAGAGGTTTGGGGGTAGTTGTCAGGGTGTCATATCCCCTTTGTCCAAGGGATGGTATCATTGCAACCAGTAATCACATTTCCTTTCTTTCTTCCTTTTGAGACAGGGTCTCCCTGTAACCCCATCTTGCCTGGAATTTGCTATGTAAACTAGGCTGGCCTTGATCTCACAGAGATCCACCTGACTCTGCCTCCTGAGTACAGAGATTAAAGGTGTGTGCCACCATGCCAAGCCACATTTCATCTTTAAACATAAGCAATGCAAGGTCATATTTTGATTATAAAAATTAATACAATATAGAATGATACAAGGTAAAAAATAAATAAAGTTTATTTAAAATAAATGTTTTCTTTAGCTACCTTATTCTTATTTTCTAGAGAAAATTTGTGTTTCTTTTTGTGAGTAAAAGAGGATACATACCCAACTGTTCCTCCATGCTTTGTATACAGTCTGTCCGTCCGTCCATCCGTCCACCCACCCACTCACTGCTATGTACAGTATTGTTTCTGATACTGACAAGATTATTTTTTATTAATAGCTTTGAATTGCTTCCATTGCCTTGTTGTGGGATAAGCATCACGTAATTTCCTTGTAGGGGAACTAGTCTCATCTTCATATTGGCATAACAGAGCATTGCAGATGATTCCTAGACTGAAGAGAAGAAGCAGGCTGTTTTATTAAAAACAATTTTTTAAAAAAGCAATATTGATAGCAAGTCAACCAAGCTTAAGCAATTCAGCAGATATTATTTTACCTTTTCTTGATTTTGTTTGACTTATAATATTTGCATTTCCAATTGAACAGATCACTGAACAAAGTATACAGCCAGGTTCTAAACCAAGTTGCAGAATATGCACTTTAAAAAATATTTTATTTATTATTTTTATTTTATGTGTATGAATGTATTGCCTGCATGTATGTGAGTGTACCCATGTTGTGCAGTGCCGCGGAGGTCAGAGAGAGCTTAGGATTCCCCTGGAACTGGAGTTAAGGATGGTTCTTAGCTGCCTTGTGGGTGCTGGGAATTGAACCCGGGTCCTCTTCAAGAGCAGTGAGTGCTCATAACCGCTGAGCCATATCTCCAGCCCCAGAATATGTACTTTTAAAAAGTATTATGTTTGTCCTGGCCGGGTGTGTTGGCGCACATAAAATTAAAAAAAAGTATTATATTTGTAAAGTGAAGCTCTATTTTATGTTAATAATTTATAGATATTTTAAAATCTTTGAATTGTATTTTTGGGTCTACATTTTATGCTTAGATATAGAATGATTTTATTCATTTTTATCTTAGAAAATTAACCCTGCATTAGTAAGCATTTCACAGAATAATTTAATAAGTTGTTTTCTGGAATACCATATTCAAAATGATAAT